GCTCGTAGGAAGTCCACAGATCCCTGGCATAGTACAATGCCCTGAAGACATTGTAGCCCTGGTGGTAGCCCTGGTGACCCTGGGCCCTAAGCAAGAGGTTGATAGTGCCAAGCCAAGCATCCTTACAGAGAATGTCTCCTGCCCCCAGCTCCCATCAGCATACAGTGCAGTGTGACCTCCACAAGAAAAGAGAACTTGGCACCCTTTCTGATTTTCCTTAGGCCAGACATAAGGCAATGGGGGTCTCCCTAAACCCCGAGTCCCTTCAGTGTGAACAGCATTTATATTATTGAGCTATTACTATGCAGTGGTATCAAGTCATCATCTCTTGTTGTGTCTAATTGAGTTTTCACAACTTGGGATGTAACTAAAGCCCTCACAGCCTTGAAGGGTTAATGTCCAAGCTCTCATGGGGTATTCAGGGATTTCTCCTGAATACAAACTGGGCCTATGTTATATTGAAAGAATATAACATACAAATCATCACCTTTATGCTCGCAGACTACAAATGGCAGTTTTTGGTGACTGGTCTAGTGGGTCTTCCTATTTTCATTTCTGTCACCAGTATTATGTCCAAGAGATGTGCCGTTCTTCCAGGAAGGAGTGCAAATGGCATTAACACTTGCCCAAACAGTCTGTTTGCCATGAAAGCTCAAACCACCAGAGAACCTCCTCAGCTGAGCTCTCTGTGAATGGCAGTGGAGGCTGGGTGTGATTAGGAAGCTCCTGGCAAGACTGAGCTGTCAGCACAGGAGTGAGGCTTCCAACTGGGGCAGGAGGAGGCTGGAGGGTGTTAGGGTGGAGCATCAAGAAAAGCTGGGTTGAATGTTCATGACATTCTGAAGAACATGATTGCTCTCCTTGTTGGAAAGGGACATCATGTGCGTAGGGAAAAGGATTATGTGGCTGTAAGGATTTGGATGTCTATAAAAATCCAGGTACTTACAGACATCGCTAGAGTGATAGCACAGCGGGTAGGGCATTTGCCTTGCATGCGGTTGACCAGGGTTCGATTCCCAGAATCCCATATGGTCCCCAAGCACTACCAGAAGTAATTCCTGAATGCAGAGCCAGGAGTAACTCCTGTGTATCGCCAGGTGTGACCCACAAAAAGCAAAAAAAATAAATCCAGGTACAGGGGAGAGAGAGATAACACAGTGGAGAGGGCATTTGCCTTGCATGTGGCTGACTTGAGTTTGATTCCTGGCATCCCATAGGGTCCTCTAAGCACCGCAGGAGTAATTCCTGAGTGGAGAACCAGGAGGAACCCCTGAACATCAAACTCTGTGACCCAAAAAGCCAAAAAAATTCAGGTACACCTAGCCACAAGTCACATTATGAATAATCTATTTTATTTCAAGTTAATAAATCTTCCTTTTGTTCTCCTTTGACTGTCTGGAGTTGGAGCGCTCACTGCCATTCTCTGATCCCTGCATCTGTCCTAATAGTAAGAGCTTCTTGTTTCATCTTCAAGTCTTATCTGGCCAGACAACTACTTCAACAATAGCCTAGTTGGAGCAGATATATAATGAGCCTCTGATTATTTTCACAAAAACTACACAGTCCAGACAGAATAGCATTTTAATGTATGCCTGATCCTCGAAGGAGGCATTTGTTTCAACACTGTACATTTGTTAGCAAAATGCAGCTATAGAGCCAAACCTGGGTGGAACATGGTTCCTTTTTCTTATTTCTGAGGTCACCCTCCGTCTTTCTGCCTGCCACATGGCAAGTTCCATTGCCTGGAGCTGCAGCCCTTCTCTCACATGTCTACTTTTCCTCATGAATGTGTAGCTTCTACCCTGCATTGCAAGAGTCTCAGGAGTACTAGGAAATCACTAATTCTCATCTTCATGCCTTCTTTCCTCTGCTGGATCAGATCTCATGAGCCCCGTTTCCCAGGTGTCCACTTCCAAGTTGGGAAACACTTAAGTCTCAAGAATTCCACAGCATTACCTGGGGCAATACTTGCAAAATCAAATGCAAGTTGACCTGGATCTGAAACAAGTGACTTTAGGGCAGGAAAACACTTCCTCCCAAGCACTCAGTTCCCACAGTGTGATAAGATGAGACTCCTTCATGGCCTCTGTATTTCCTTCCAATCACATAGCAAGGAACAGAAGGGAGAGGAGGGGTTAAGCAGATAAATGGAGGGCACAGGTAGTTTAGCAAGTGCCATTAAATATCTTTCACAAGGAATGAAAACAAACCCCTTTAAAAAATGACAGCAATAGAAAGAAGAGACTGAAGGGCCTAAGAAATAGTCCAGGGATTGAGCACTTGCCTTGCATGTTGCCAACCTTGGTTTTATCCCTGGCACTCCTAGGGTTGTGCAAGCAGGCCCTGAGCAATCCCCAAGCGACATTCAGAAACCCAAACTTAAAACAATAAGACTGAAATGTCGTTCTAAATCCTGCTACTCAGAATGGCAACTAGGAGGAATGTACCTGCTTGAATACCACAGGGTGATTGTAAAAGACAGGTCCAAGTATCAGTGCACAGCTGGATGGACACAGCTGGGGCAGGAGACAGCCTCAATGTGAACACCAATCAAGCGCTTTCTACCATGTGATGTCAGATGAGCCACTTCACCTCTTTCCCCTCAGTTTTTTTTTTTTGTCTCTGTAAAATTTGTAAAATCAATTTGTGAAAGTTCACTCTTTGGAGGGTTGGTGTGATATTTAAATAAATTACTTCATATAAAAATTCGCAGGAAACCAAAACCTGTCATTTGTAGGTAGTAAGTCCTTAGCATATGCTATCTTGGATAATTGTCATTTGGGTATTACTGTAGATTATGCATTTTCATCAATAGGGTCATATTTTACAGATTTTTAACTTTACAGTCACTGTTTAAATACAGTCAGTGATTAAGTGGGCTTTCCACTAAATACAGTTGGCTCTGTACACTAGAATGAATGCTTGGAATATATGGTTGATGCATACTTTAGCCAATTTTTCATTTTGTTGATCTTTGAGGTTTAGATTGTTTCTCTGATTTATTTCTTTGCCATAAACTAAGTGGTAATAACTCCTGTGCCAAAAACAGTAATACCTTTACCTCTCTTTCTGAAAGGTAGTGGTTTGGATATGCCCACCTTCTCTTTGATCAACAGTGAAATGTTACAGAGGTAATGAAGTCTGTGTTAGAGCATATAAGAGACCAGGGTCTCATCTGACATGGATCAACCCCAATAACCATTCTACCTTTCCATACTCTCCAACTCCAATAACCATTCTACCATACTCTCCATTCTAACTTTCAGTCAGCCTAAAGAATTCCAAGTGTCTGAAAGAATCCCAGAACTGCCACCAATCAGAGAGATTCATCTAGTACATTTGTTCTGTTCCTTGTCACAGACAAACTATCCAGATGTCTAATTAGCTTTTTCAGTTTCTATCTGAAAGCTTTATGACACCTGGGTATGGTGTACATTGAATTCTTTTTTTTTTCTACCAATATCCTAAGGATAGGTCTGAAAAAACAGCCACTAGGCATCATGGTCTGGAACACTGGTTCATCAGACAATTGAGGGAGCAGAGCTGTACTTCCACTTAATCTTCATATTGATTTCATATCATTGTCTTTTGCTTGTATTGTATGTACATATGTTCATACATTATCTCTCTTGCTTCACAGAAAACTTGAGAAACTGAAAAGCAAACAAGTGTCCCTCTCCAAATCCCCCCAGTCATGGCATCACAGGTGTAATTATCAATGAAAGCACGTTTGCCCAACAGGTGAATCCCCAGAATCTGAACTCCAATAATAGTCAAAGAACGAGATTGCAAAATCAAAGGTACAAGGGCTGCACCATAAATGTGTTTTTCTTAATCACAGACAACACACAGAGAACATTTCAGTGACTATCAGGGTCCTTACTACAAATGTTGAAGTTTGGATAGAACATATCAAATAGTGTGATCTTATCCACAATTGCCAGGATTAAGGATAGAGAAGGATTTCCCGTGTATCCTGACCCAGGTGAAGTCTTTGTCCACCTCTCTATGCTGACCATTCTCATCTCTGTACCCCTGTCACACTTTTCACCCTCAGAGGCACTATACTCCCTCCCTTCATAAGGACTCTATGTCATTCTGCGTGGAAAAGGTTCCAAAAATTCTCCAATATGGTTTCTCTTCCCTAACAGCCAATGGTTACTGGTCCCTCAAGGAAGAAATTTGGCATATCTCTGCCTTTGTTACAAGAGAAAGTCCTTTGTTATATGCCCTGAGAGTTCTCAAAACTATTTTTTTCTGTATGTACTTATGGATTCGTAGCAAGACCCTTGGAACAATGTTGATTTCCTCCCACTAAAGTGGAAGCAGATGAATGTAGAATTCTTGCTTGGATTGTCCACCATCTCTGCTATCCATAAAAAGGCTTTGCTTAATAAACATCTGTGAATGAACCAATGAAGGGAACCTTTTGTGCTTCCAGATACCTTTTATCTATGCCATAGACTTTGCTTCTGCAAGGTTGCCTGGGAAGCTTTTATGAGAAAGCCTATCTCCAGCAGCAGGTGGCTTGGGCATGTGAATGTTATGAAAACCATTTGGAATTCTCATTATTCCAAACTTCAGTAGTCTGTTTCCATCCTCAAATATACTCTCAAAGAAACAGTGAAATCCGGTGCTCTGAGGGAGCCTGTCAGAGATTTTTTGCCTATGTGAAAATGACTTCACACTCTGGGCCGCAACATGAACTAATATTTATCACTGACCGATTCAAAGAGGCACAACCTCTTCTGAATTCAGGGAATCATTGGAAATGTCAATTACGCCCAGAAGGACAGTCAGCAAAGAATATATTCTCGCCTGTGCTTCTCTCCTCTTGTCCTGTAAGACGTTATGTGCCTGTTCCATTTTCTGAACAATCTAGTAAAATTCAATTTACTTTTTCAATTTGTCTCCAGCCAAGCTTCCTTCTGTCAGCTAGGCTGAGATTTCAATGCCGGCCATGGAGTGTCCGGAGAGCAGGACACAGAGAACACAATTACCTGTGCACTTGCGGTCTGTGTCTTCTTTCTTGGACCCACTAATCGTCAGCTTGCAGTTAAAGTTTTCCTCCCAATATTCGGCGAACCAGACGTTCCTCCTGTTGTTTTCAAGTGTGCGGGATGTGAAGTAGGCGTCAAACCCTAAACAGAGTTAGAGGAAACAGTTACTGCTCACAGGCTCCTAACAGAATGCCAGGAAAGAAAAACAAGTGAGGGTTTCTCTGCTGGACTCCACCAGATATGCTTTTGTGTCAATTAAAAAAAAAATGAACCAAGAAAAAAAAAAAGGTTAACGCTAACCTATAGCTAAATTAACTCCCCAGTCTGCCAAGCAGATGCAACATGTGCCTACAAATGACATCTTCTCTGTGAACTCTGCCATAATGACTGGAAGGATACCAACAACATCACAGCACACCCTGTTATGGTAAATAAACACTATCATTGTTAAGGTGGTAGTGCAGGACTCGCTCTCTGCTCCAGAGCACACACTGAGCTTCACACAGATGCTTTTGTTCATCACACAACTTGGAGTGAGGGTCATTCAATTCTCCCACTTGGCTCATGAGAAGGAGTTTTGAGAAGAAAGAATGTGAACATGACAGACCTGCACCCCCACACCCTGCTCACTCTCACGCTGAGTCCCAACCCAGCACAGAACTATCAGTCACAGCAAAGCACCTCTCAGAAGAGCTGAAGTAAACAGAGGTGAACAAAGACTGATCCTGAGGAAGGTCAGGATGGCAGAGAGGGGTTGGGCTTGGTGCTCAGGACACGGGCAAGAGCAGGGCTCCAGGTTGTTTCAGGTTGAGATGGAGCCTGGAGCCAGAGAGAAGGGGGGATTCCTGAGGACAGGGGTAAGGGGGCTAAACTCAGTAAGACACAGAAAAAATCAGTGCTCAGTGTGCAGGAAACATGTGTAACATTCATCTCCGTTGTTCCTGGGGTCAACTGTTGTTTCTCTTCCTTCTCTCCCTGTCCAGCTAACAGAATGCCACGAAAGAAGAACAAGCTTGTCCAGCTTGGAGCACTGAGAAATCTTTGAGGTTCAAGATCAGGAGTCCCTGAGAAGATGGACTTGCATTATTTAAATATATTCAACATTTTTCTTCATTGGGCTTGTCTTGCACACAACTACTGGGTTCAATTCCTGGCAGCCAGAGGGTCTCCTGAACTCCAACAGGAGTGATCCCTGACCTGTTTCCCAACAGGCCAGAGCCACTTTCAGGATCACTGACCAGATCCTGGAAATAGGAAGCTGAGACCACACGGCTGTGGGCTGGGAGTCCGGGACATTGAACTCTGCTGAGAATGTGCTGTCCAAGAAATGCTTCATGGTGAAGAGACTGTCTCCACACCACAGAGCTGAGGGGGACATGGGTGCCCTTGACAGCCCTTGACTGAGTCAGGCAGCAGCCCGATGCTTTGTCCATGGACAAGAGCTCCTGGCATGAGGCAGAACAAAGCTTTCCTGGATCTGTGGTCACCCAGTCCTGGCCACAGTTCCCCTAGGCATCCTGGCCCTTGCCTGCTTAAGAAAGTGTCTATTTCACATGCAACACACAGCTACAAAAGTATTGGGGACAGAAGCAGAAATAAGAATAACTAATAATCCAATGTAGGGGATTGTGTGCATGTGTGTGTGTGTGTGTGTGTGTGTGTGTGTGTGAGAGAGAGAGAGAGAGAGAGAGAGAGAGAGAGAGAGAGAGAGAGACTCCACATCCAGACTTTCTTCTTATCCCTAGGAGCACGGGAGAAAATCCATCAGGCTAAAGAATAAAGGCAGAGAGCAAACTTGTCAGAGTTTCTAAATGAAAGTCAAGATGCAAAGATGAGGGTTTCAGATCACAGGAATCAGACTCAGATGGCCCTCAAGGAGGAGCTCTGGCTTTGATGCCGAGCAGGTGGGATTGTCAGTAGAAAATCGTTCCTGTTGTCCGACAGATGAGTTTAATTTCAGAAATTACTCTCCAGGCAGTGCGGAAGCAAATGCCCCCTTGGAGACGGAGCAACAACAGCCCGAGCAGGTTTCAGCTCAGGCACGGCTACTGCTTCTGCTTCTCTTGCTCATTGCCTCTTTAGTTGGGGGTCACTAGCATAGGGTCCTCAAGATCCGTGGGGAGGAAGGAGGCCAGCAAATCACCACTCACAGCACAGCACCATGGAAAGAAGATGAGGGGAGCGTGGGCCGGGCTCTGAGCTCCAGCTGCCCGCCAGTGCATATGAGTGAAGCCTCAGCTACTCACAGGTGTTTCATGGCCTCAGAAATCAACTGGCTCCCCTGTGGGCTGTGCCGGATGCACACACATATGCACATATAGACACACGTGCACACATGCATACACACATGTACAGATACGCACATACAGATATACAAGTATACACATGTGCACTCACACACTCGCATACATTGGCACACGCATGCCTACACACACTGACACACAAGTGCACTCACACACTTGTACACATGTGCACACAAATGCACACATGCACGCACATGTGCATGAATACACATGTGCATGTGATACACATGTGCACACATGCGCACTCACACACTTTGCACATATATGCACACACACATGTACACACAATGACACACATGTGCACTTACACATCTGCACACATGTGCACAAATGCACACATGCATGTGCACACACATATACACAAGTGCACATGCACATGCATACAAAGACACACGCAGACACACACATGCACACAAACACGTGTGCAGGTATTGTTGTGGGTCACACGGCAGCACAGAGGGGCCTCTTCCTCGTGAGGCTACACAGGTGTGGACTAGTCTCATCAGGGACCAGGCATGGCTCCTTCTGCTCCTGCACCCCCCACCGAGGCACCATGTGCTGGGCTTCCTGTCACACAGCACCCGGCAAGTCACTAGGCTGCCAAATACACAGAGAAGGTAAAGAATGGGCAGAGCTATGTGTGTGGGTGGGGAGGGGAATGAGAAGAAACTGGGTCCTCTGCCAAGAGGACACATCACACCCAGCAACCTTCTGGAAGCACCCAGGGTCTTCCCACCAGGTGCAGGCCCTGCCGCTCTCCCTCTGACCCTCCCACAAAAGGCCCACACAAGAGAGCCATGATTTCTTCTCCGGATGTTGGCCATGGCCGTGGCTGTGAGATCGGAGCCTGCCCCAGAGCCCACAGTGTGTGGCAAGAACACTGAGCACCCACAGAAGAGAGAACTGTCACAACACGTGTGGCTGGCACAGGGGTGGGCACAAGTAAGTTTTGGGAGACATTCGGGAACATCCGTATGACAGGGCATCTCAAACTTGTTCCACTTGCTGCCTCTTTTGGCCTGAGAAGTACAGCCCGGCCAAGCATGAACTGAAACACCTCAGATTCTGGGTGGGCTGATTCTGAAATCATTTTTGGTTGCTGTGCATTTAGAGGTTCATGTTCCGTTAGCAACCATTGACAGTGGGAGAAGCCAGGTTGATGGAGTGTTCAAACAGGGCAGAACCGAATCATGCAACCTGCAGTGCTCACTGGTGCTGGCACTGAGAACTGGGAAGGGAGTCATATGACGGGGTGAGGGTCTCCCCCAAACTAAGCTGTTTCCAGTGGGGCAGAGAACTGGAAGATGGGATGTGGGGGTGGTGCAGATGGGAGTTTTTGTGCTGCCGTGAGTGTTCAAATGTTCCTGACTTTAAGGTTACTTCTAGGAGCTTCCTTCATGCTTGTCCTTCATGCCTTTCCAGGGTACATATTCCTCTTGTACTCTTGATCCATTGTCATCAGTCGGGGCCCTGGGGTCCAGACCCTGACCACCTGTCGTGTACAAAAAATGTGACCTCTTTGAAAAGCTCTGGGCCTGGAGAGAAAGGATGGCAGGTAAGCCATCTGCTTGACATGTGGCCAAACTGGATTCAATCCCCAGCCCCCCAGAGGGTCTCCTGAGCACCACCTGGAGTGATCTCTGAGCACAGAGCCTGGAGTAAGCCCAGAGCACAAGCAGCTACAGCCCCCAAACCAAAATCAGTTGCTTACTAACATAAATACAGATACTAGCGACTGTGAAACAAGAAGTAGTGTTTCACATGTGGTGAAGTTCAGCGTGCCGGAAGGGAAGGGGAACCCGATGGGCACTCGATGTCAAGGCACAAAGGGGCCATGGAGAAGTTCCTGGGAGGATGGGGTAAGGCCCAGGAGCCCAGGGGGGCCTGCCCCTCCACAAACAGAAAACCAGAAGAGCTGAGGAGAGAACCCCTGGAGCCTGAGACTGTCACCCACTTCAAAGCTGCATTTATGACTCTGAACATCCCCCCAACCCCAGGCTGGGAGCACACATGTCGGGGCTTCAGCTTAAAGACCCCAAACTGGTTGTCAAAGATTCTGGCAGTCACAGACAGACCCAAGTCCCCTAAACTTCCTTGTGCTGTCTCCTGTCTCCCACCCTGCCCAGTCACATGGACACTGGGGGCTTGGGGACACACTTACTTCAAGGATGCCTTGGGGGTGGGCCCCAGCACAATGATAAAAGGAATTAGTCACTTATTTATTTGTATTGAATCAGCCTGAGATGCAATTACAAAGTCGTTTGTGATTGGGTTTCAGTCATACAATATTCCAACACCGTCCCTTCACCAGTGCACACTTCCCACCACCTCTTCATCCCTTCCACCTCTTAGGCAGGAATGTAGGCATCTCTCTCTCTCTTTCTCTCTTTCTCTCTCAACTTTGGGGCACTGTGGTTTATAATACAGATACTGAAAGTTTATCATGTACATCCCTTTACCTAATTTCAACACCCAGTTCTGTCCAAAGTGATTAATTCCATCTATTACTGTCATCCTGGTCCCTTCCCTATTCTACCTATCTTTCATCCCCACCCCCACATTAACTTGTGGCAAGCTTCCAACCACTGACCAGGAAAAAGGAAATTTTGAAATCGGAAAAAGCCCATGGTATGGGAGAAGCTTCTGGCTTCACTTGGGGAATGAGAAGAGCTGACTCGAAGCAGCACCCCATGAGCCCTGCAGCCAGCAGCAGGTGCCCACACGTGCTACCCCTAGGGTGCTGGCTTCTCCCAGGCCTCCCATCTCATCTGCAACATGCCTGGACTTGGCCCGTCCATGCTGAGCTCCCCACCACTGACTGTGCTGAGAGATGTTACC